AGAAATATGAGGCACCTGTTGAAAGAAGTAATTCCTAACACAAATTTTGGTGGTATATGGAAACATTGATTTGCAGCATATTTTGATACAGTAGAGCCTCAAAAACTCGGCCTAATGTGGACCGAAGGGTGGCCGAGTTTGTGAAAATGCCGGGTTATCGGAAATGGGGTTAAAAAAAAAATAAGTATGAGTGTTTCCTCAGAAAATACTGTACTGTACTTGTATGTATTGTTTACTTGAGAATACAACAGAAAATAAACTGCCCAAATACCTTTAAACAAAGGGAAAGTACGTCTTTTATGAACGCATAGAGCCTTTACTACATGAAAATTAAAATTAATGAATACACTGTACAGTAATTTACCTGATAAGACAGACTTCAGAAAAATACTTTGAGGCATAAAGCTGTCTTTATCATGAAAATTAATTAACTAAGGATTTTTTTGCCCTGCCAGGGTGTGGTCAAGTTATCCGGAGTGCCGAGTTTTCGAGGCTCTACTGTAGTCAAGAGTTTATCCTATTATTTACTTGTTCTAATTGGTTTACCCTTTAATCCAAAGACTCACCAAATCATTACTGATCCTCCACCTTGCATGTTTACTGCATTAATGGTCTTCCTTCTATAGATTCTGCCAGTAAAATTTAAGATCATCTGGTTTGTCTAAAGTAAACTTTTCCCCCACTGAAAATAACTTTGGTCCATTCCTTGTCCCAGGTCATATGATTTTTGGCCCAGGTGAGACTTTCCTCTTTGCAATGTGTCTTATGATAAGGTTTTCTCTTAACTCTTCTGAATTTAGCTTTTCCAGATTTCAACAATGCGCGATCAACAGCTGATTTTGAAACACAACCTTGCAAATGTTCTGTTATTTGCTTTACAGTACATTGGTTTTTTGTTGCCAATTTAAATATGCATCTTTGTTGTCAAGCAATCACTTGTTTTTTGTCGAGAATTTGATTTTCAGGTTGAACGTCTTCTGTTGCAAAAATTTACTTATTGATGACTTAGCTATATTTAAACTTTGAGTTATTTTACTTTAGGAAATGCATTCAACTATCCAGGCAGCAATTTTGTCTTTTCCATAATCATTGAAATCACATTTTTTACCATAGTAACAAACAACTTTCCACTGCTTCAAATGTGTCAAATATTTTCATATACTTACACAGGAACAATATAAATATGAAAATGTAAACAGATATGCTTGTAACACACCATTTCTAAGCCCAAAACTAAACCTAATGAAACACTGTTATATAAAATAATGAATGACAAGTGTTGGTCAGTTGCCAGGCCTGGTCTTCAGAAATGGGCTGAAATAACGTGAACAGATTAGTTTGAAATAACATGTACAAGTTAGTGCAACAACAAGTCTAAAAAAATAATTGTCAATGCATCAATAGAAACAAGAATGTATTGAAAATGTTATGAATGAACTATGTACAAAGATGTTTTAAAAAACGAGAAGCCACTTTAGTGTTATTAAACCATACAAAAGTTATAACAGTCATTTCAATGTTTTCAAATATGGTTTTTCTATTTTATAAATCAGTAACAGGGATTAAGAGGAAATTCTTTAACTTCAATAAGAGATTGTTTAATCTGAAATAGGTGATGTTTGCTTATTAAGTGTCAGTCATGTTAATCGTAAGATTTTATCATTACTTTAGAATTTTGTACAGATAAGGTATGGAGTTTTCATTCTTTAAACAAAATAAAATCTTTATATTACTTTTAAAAAATCAATTTTTCAAAAATATTTCCTCAAAATTGATGAAAAAACTTTATGGGTTAATTGTACCTAAATAACCCCCGTTTTTTTGCCTGGACCGCATTTAATCAGAGACAAAGCTTTTATTCGTATTCTTTATTTTCTATGCATTTCGGGTGCAATATTTTCTTTAATTTGCACCCCTCTTCAGGATTTTTACATTTCTATAAATTTGGTAAATTTAATTATTACATCGGTAAATTACTACAATAGTTATACAATGGTTAACTAACCTGTTTTAAGTTTTAGATCGACATCTGCCCAGTGTTGATGTTATGTCCCCTAAGGCATTTTTAGACTGTTTCCCCCTCTTTTTGTTTTCTTTTCCTTTAGCTCCTCCCGTTTCCTCCCACACGTCGTCTACCTCCATTCCATCATTTAGGTTTATGGTTTTGTTTTTATTAATGATTTCAAAGTGCTCTTTGAATTTTCTTAGATAAATATCTTTTTCTTTATGAATAATTGTTATACTTTTTTCATTTATTGTGCATCCAAATTCCTTACAGTGATTTGTCCACGGTGATTGGTTATAATTAAGTCTAATTGCTGCTTTATGTTCTTTAATTCTGGTACCGAGTTGTCTTCCTGTTTCGCCAATGTATATTGCTGGGTTCTTACATGTGCATTTTATTTCGTATATGACACCTGCTTGGTTTAGTATTTCGTTATTTTTGATTATTGGTGTTGATGTTGTTTTTAATTTTATTTTTTAATTTGGCTGCTAGTGTAACACCATGCTTACTGAAAATTTTTTTGTAGGAAATATTGAGGAAATTATGAGGAAATATTTTTGAAAAATTGATTTTTTAAAAGTAATATAAAGTAAACTGCACCATGGATATATACATATCTATTACTTATAAAATAAAATCTCTAAAATAAAGGATAATGATTGAGTTGTTATTGTTATGAATTTCTCTTTTGAGATCATTCATATGTTCTAATCTTCAAATGTTCTGTAGGTAATCAAGAATTAAAATAGTAGAAGGAATTGTGATGGTAATAGTGGTATAATATAATCTTGCTAATCATTGGTGCTGGACTAAACTATGAATAAGTCAGGTTATTTTGAGATTCATATATGAGAGATTTTTAAGACCATTGATTTATTCTTCTAGATTCATAGGTTAGCACAGGTGTGTTGTTTATCACCTGAACAAAAACACAACAATTAGGTTCAGGCAGAGATAAAGAATTATTATTTCATCAAAACAGCTATACTATCATATAATCATAGTCATTTATATCTATGATTTGTGTTTAAAATATTTCTCATACAATATTTAAGAAAAATATTTTAATTTGACTTAGCTATAATCTATGCAGTTTTAGGTTTCTGCAGAACTATTATTTTTATTTTTAGTTTGAGAGAGAGATTTTTATTCAGTTGCTATGGTGGTAATGTTTATATAATTTCTCTCTCTCTCTCTCCTTCTTTTTTTTTTTTTTTAAGTTAAGTAGCTAAAGAGAATTGTTTTGCCTAAAAAGTATTTTTATTTAATTTTATGTTCTGTTTAGAATTCATTAAAGCAATTTACAAATTTGTCAGATTAGTGATTTTATTTTTAATGTAAATAATATAATAAAATGTAATGTTAACATTGAATGTTTGAGATATACATTAATACAGTGTGATCAATGAAGATAGATCAGTAGGCATTGTAATATTATTTTTGTCGTCTCTCATTACAACATGGTTATTACAAGAATTAAAATTTTTTTTATATTGTGCCTCATACATTTATGCATGCATGTATATATATATTTCAATGCACATTGGTCATTCTTCTATTTTTCTATATAATTACATCTAATTATTAATTAGAGATTCAGACTATGTACAAAAAATTATTTAATTTTTGAGTCTATCAATTAATCCTTTTTTCATACACCATAGAAGTAGCCTTTACATTGGTTTGAAGAAATCACTTCATAAAAACGTATAACAATAGGTAAAATTTAAAACTTGGCAGTGGTGTGAGAAGATTTACTTAATTTTTAATGTTAAGGCGTCAGATACCTAAAATGAAAGGCTGACGTCTGATCGTTTTTAATTGTAAATTTTACCTATTGTTATACGTTTTTATGAAGTGATTTCTTCAAACCAATGTAAAGGCTACTTCTATGATGTATGAAAAAAAGGATTAATTGATAGACTCAAAAATTAAATAATTTTTTGTACATAGTCTGAATCTCTAATTAATAATTAGAAGAAAAATATCCTGAGTTCATCATGAAATTGTATATAATTACAGTTTGTTAAAACATTTGTCCCAACACTACACAAATTGTTTGATACCTTGTCTGAAGAAATTAGTCCTACTTTTTAAGCACTTTCATACTGCAACTTTTATATTACTGGCTAACTGTTTGTGCAGAATGTCCTTCAGCTTGAAGAAGAGATGAAAAATCACTGAGCACAATTTGGACTGTGTGGTGAATGGTCCAAATGCTCCCAAAACACAATTAATTTTTTCAAAAGTATTGTGTTTTGGCAGTATGCACATTGTTGTTGAGAAACCATATATTTAGCCAACAGTTTAAGCTTTATCTTTTGAATAGCCTCCTTTTAACTTTTGGAAAGTTTGACAATATCTTTGTCCATTCAGTTTGTCAGTGGTGCAGAAATTCCGTTTAGATGACACTTATGGTTTCCCATAATAGATGACAAAACTTTATAGGCTGACTGCATAACTTTAAATTTTTTTTTTTTTTTGACTGTTAGTGATGGATGTTTTTCTTCTATTGAAGCATATTTGGATGCCGGCACAAAATGAAAAACCCATGTCTAATAACCAGTAATAATTCTTTCAAGGAAATCACATAGACTAATGATCAGGTGTTGGTATGGTACCTATTTGTGTGACACTTTCCAGTAATTCAATTTCTCATGGTTGATAGCATATGGAAGTCCTATTAATAAACATAGTTCAATTAGACAATATATACACAGAAATGTAATAAGGACAAAAAGCTAAAAAGGATGTAGGTACACTTTGACATCTTTGGTACCATTATTTGCATTACTATAGACAGGAAAAAGTCATTAAACTTTTTATTTCTCCTTGTATATATGAATAATTTTGAGTATGTGTATGTATCTATATACATGCACAAACACATACTCAAAATTATACATTATTTAGAAATAAATGAATTAGATAATTTTTTAGATTTTATCATTTATACTTTCAAAATAACTAAAGTTATTTATTTTTTATTTAAAAGAAAACTGGAGCTCATATTAAGGTATATAGTAACTGTTGTCCTGTATCTACTGAAAGAGTTGTTCAAATATCAGGTTTTCCAAATGTTGTCATTGATTGTGTAAAAGAAATATGTGATATAATCAGTCAGGTAAGTGAATTTCATATAATGTAATATAATATTTTTTAAATAATAATAATAATAATTAAACTTCTGTTCTATTGCGTAAAAGTTTTGAAAATTAAAGATTTAGTTATTGTAGATTTCTCCAATAAAATATCTTATGAATAAGCATTTGTCTCTAATCGTTGATTAGTTTTAAGTATTTGAGAAAAAATAAAAAATGAATTAAATGAGTTATTAATATACATAAACTTAAGACAATACATTATATTGTATGTCAGAAATTAAGTAGTCTTTTTTTTTTCTTTCTGATGCAATAATACAACTTCACACTTGTCATTCAGATAATTGAGGTTAAGTAGTGAAAGGTAAGATATTCAGTGGAGTATGCTAGAACAAATGATGCTACAAAGAACATAGGCTAACATAGCACATGCATGCACATGACATTTCAATGTTTTCACTGATTTGATTATAGAATTAGTCATTGTCTTTGTTACAGTTTGTAAAGTTCAAATATTTATTTATTTTCATCTTTACCAATAAAAATGTATTTTTAAATTGTTTTGCAATATAATTTTAGCCATGAGATTGCAAAATAGAGTAAGAAAGTTAATTAACTTAGACATTAAGAAAGTATTTTTAAGGGAGAAAGTGAAAATAGTGATTCTGTCTTAGTGCTGAGTATGGTATGGCTAAGTAAACTATCAGTATGATTTTAAAAAACAAGGAAGAAATAAAAAGTGCATAGGTTGTGAAAGGAATCTCTAGATTAACAGTTCATGTTGTAATATTATGGAACAGATATAAACTTGCATAGTGTATAAAAGTTAAATAAATTTTATATTATTTTTACACTTATATTTTTGATTTTGTAGTATATTTTTCCTGTTTAAATGATTGTTAGATGTAATTTTGCTTTAACCTGTCCCATGTTTAAATTTTTCTCCGATGTGTATCACTTCATGTTAAATTTTTTCAACTTTAAGCCTAATGAAAATTGCATGTTTTAGAAAAATAATAATTGTGGCTATTGTATCATTTCAAATTATTTTTTATTTTGCTTAAACAAAATAGACATATTGAAAAGTGTAAAAAGAAAGAAAAGAAAAAAAAAAACATATTTTGGAAGTTAGTTTTAGTATGATAATTATGAGAAGTAGCAACATTTAGTGTTAAAAAATGTTCTGATGCAAAAATGAGAGATATCGGGTCCAATAGTCTGGGTCTTTATTTTTCAGCCCAAGATATGTCTTGGGAATAACACAGAACAGGTTAAGCTGTGGGCCTGGAATGGAATACCCCAAAATACCATACATTTCAATGTATGCTATAACATTCATGCTGTAATGAATAAGGTTCTAGAATCAATTATATTTTGTTTTAGTGTATCCCACTGTATTTATAAGAAAAATAAGTTATCAAAATTTTATTCAAAACAGATATCTTATTTTAAATTTAAGGAATGCAATAAAACTCTCACTCCAAGTAGTTTAAAAAGTTTTGTCATAATTGGCAGAGATCTACTTTTTTTGAGAAATTTCCTTAGTTTCTGGGAGTTAGATTTTTAATGTTGTTTTTCCCTGTTGTGCAGCTTGGATATCAACTTCCATCTTTCATCACTCACATACTAATCTCTGACATCATTCTGCATCTCTTATGGGACATCATGGTGTCCCCATATACCTCAATGAATTGATAACAGAATTAAGGAAATCTTTTTAGTCCACAAAAATTAAATAACTGTTCAGACTTTATTGTAAGACCACTTTTCTAAACTTATCGTTTGGAAATGTTGTCACAACACATTGTAACTATTTGTATTGCCAATGTTGGTCATTACCAGCTACCTATATTGGAGTTACATTCAACAGTGCTTTGGTTTTTAACTCTGGATGTAGTAAAGTTACTTTTTGATTACTCCACATATTTCATATAAAATAATATGATAATTAAAATATAAAGTGTTTGATATAAAATGTTATGTAGGTTTATCTCCTCAATAATGTTTTACTTTAATGAGGAGATGCATCTTGTTTACTTCTAGAATGTTTTAATGTAACATTCAGTTGTTATTTTAACATATTTTGAAATTAAACAATTATTTTTCACATGATTTTCCATGTTTATATCATAAATATATTCTTATTTCACAAGTAAGAAAACAAGAAGACACTAAACATGGATGTAAGTTCAAAGTAATATAATCAAGTAATTGAATATTGTTATAATTTTATCATTTATTTTTATGTATTCATACAAAATACATGATGGGTTTAAAAGTAATACACTATATATTATTTATAATTATTTACAGTATGAATCATTATTACAAAGCTGTTCTAAAAATTAACATAATTTGTTTTTATTGTCAAGGATATGTTGGATTCCAAACATTTTGTTGTATAAACAAGTTTCCTCTGCTAAGCACAATATTTGAAAAAACAGCTAACTTTTCTTTATAATGCATAAATTTATGTGAAATACTATTGGGACCTTGAATAAGTTCTTGCTGTTTTTTCATGAAAATTAACACTTCATTTAAAAAAAAGTCGTAAAAAACACGTCACTGAAAGTATTGTCCATCGCTAGCCACTACTTTCTCCCATTGTTCTGGCAGCATTTGAATTCCACGTCAGAAAAACGACACGTCTTTTGAGGCTATCCAAGAATCAACCCATTTTTTGGCATCTTCATAAGAATGGAAGTGCTGCTCAGCCAGGCCATGTGCCATCGATCGGAACAAGTGATAATCGGAAGGGGCAATGTCTGGTGAATATGGCGGATGGGGTAGGACTTCCCATTTAAGCATTTCCAAGTAGGTTTTCACCAGTTGTGCAACATGTGGCTGAGGATTGTCATGTTGAAAAGTCACTTTGTCATGTCTCTGCTCATATAGTGGCAGTTTTTTCCTTCAATGCTTGGCTCAAGCACATCAATTGTAGCCGATAGCGATCTCACGTGATGGTTTTGTTTGATTTGAGCAGCTCATGATAAACTACACCTAGCCAATCCCAGCAAATGCAGAGAAGATGCTTCGAACCATGGATATTCAGCTTAGCTAATGATGTTGATGCGTGGCCGGGTTTACCCCATGATTTTCTATGCTTAGGTGTATCCATTTTTCATCTCCAGTCACGATACAATGCAGAAAACCTTTCCTTTTCTGCCGTTGAAGCAGATGTTCGTACATGGAAAGACGCTGTTCGATATTTCATGGCTTCAACTCATATGGCATTCAATGTCCTTGCTTTTGAATCATTCCTAATTCTTTCAAACATTTTGAAACTGTTGTGTGATCAACTCCTAGTGATTCTGCAAGTTCAGTTAGCGTCTGACATGAGTCTTCATGAAGTAATTCCTCCAATTCCTTGTCTTCAAACTTTTTTGGTGTTCCAGATCATTCTTCATCTTCAGTATCAAAATCATTATTTTTGAAGTGTTTAAACCAATCTCTGCTTGTTGTTTCTGGCAGAGCTAGATCGCCGTAAGTCTCAACAAGAAATCTGTGTGTTTCAGCTGCAATTTTTTTTTGAATAAAATAGTGCAATAACATTTCTTGCAAATACAAATACTTTTTTTTTTTTTTTTGCACAAAACTCGACATGTTTAACACTATGAAAAAATAAGTTGTTCACACTTTCGCAAAATGACACATACTGAATTTCAAAAGATGACTTATTGTACTTCCTTACAGATGCGTCACCATTTAAAAATACATGCAGGTGGTTCTGGTAATGCCATCTGTTGGAAAACTGCAAGAACTTATTAAAAGTCCCAATACAACAATTTCACTTATTTGTAATAACTATAAACTGAGATGATGCAAAAGAAAGGCAAGAAAACTAGCATAGATTACCAGTTATGCCATCTAGTATCAGTGAACTTCACTGATTTGTGGGAATTGTTATATTAACTTGACTTATCAATAAACTAATCAGTTTTTTAAAAGAAATTGTTTAGAAATGAAGCATGATATCCATTATAATGAACTTATTAGATGATAACGTGATCATAAAATTAAAAAAAAATTATTCTTAAATTTTGAGAAATCATTGTTCTGATGGGTGAAACTATTGTGGATGACAGACAAAAGATAAAGGTAGAACAAATAGAAGAAGCTATTCAATGAGAATGTCTCTAAAACAGGGCAGAGTTTTGTCCACTATGCTTTAAAAGATTTAGAATGCTATGTTATTTGTAATTACAAATAATTATAAAATATTTATTTTACCATTTGTTGATGTTTAATTTGTCAACTTTTGTGCCACATAAGATGGCACAAAACAAAAAATCAGGGATGGCCAACTTTTGTGTACATAAGATCTACTTTTTATTTTAAAAATGTGTCGCGATCGATTTGTTGTCGTAGGCATAGTCTAAGTTAGGGATGGCCATTCCGTGGCCAGAGTCGCATAACATCTGTATAAATATATCAATTTCCTAGCTTAAAAAGTAAGCAGCAAAAATTCAAACGTTATTTTCTACAACTTATGTGTGTGAATAGTTTTTCCTGCAATGAATTTAGTAAAAATTAAAATGAGAAACCGGCTAACAGACTCGCATCAAAACTAATTTAAAACTAGCAGTGACTAATATCTAATCAAATATTTTTGATACATTATGTTTACATCAGTTCTAGAAGCTAAATTAAGTATACCTATTCTATTTTATAATTATACTAGCTTACCCGTCGCACATTGCTGCGATCTCAGAAGAAAGGAAATTCAAGCAAACTCGTTATGATAAAATTCAATTTACATTTTATTATTTTTATTGAAACTTATTATTATTATTCATTTTCATGGGAAAAACATTTCAAAGTGTCGTTTCAATTCTATTTATTTATTGGAGTGTTTGTGGATACACGATATTTTTTGTTTTTCCCTCTGGTGTGTACACGAATAAATCGGAAGGTTTTTCGACGCGTGAGCCGGCCACATACAGTTGTCCATGCGAGAAGCACGGATTCTCCAAATTTAGCCCACACACTCGCTGCGATTGTCAGAAGTGCGATATTCCCCATTTTTATATATATTTTTAAATCCTTTATAATTTTCATTATTTAATTGCTCCTTCCTTTCTTCCTTGGCATGTTGTGAAATTTCTGATAGTTGGATAATAAACCGTTTTATTGTAATTTGTCTTTTTAAATTATTTTGAGTCGATATTAAAATTTGGAAAAGGGGGGATACCTAGATCGGTAAAATACGCGAATTTCTTCCTACAACTTCGGTTGTTGTTCGGGGTACAGTTAAGGTTTTAACGAAGCTCGAGGGAATACATAATTAGCAAAAAAAAAGTTGAAATAAAGTGATTAAACAAAAATTATTATACATATCGTAAATAACAGTTCACAAATGCATATATAGAGATATTTTTTAAGGGGGGAAATGGTCTTCACAATTTGAAATCGATCGGACACACTGTGCGCGAATGCTCGTGTAAACGCGCGCCATCTATCGTAGGATAAATGTACTTCGCGGGAGTGTATTAAAAAATTAAAAAAACTTTCCAAAGTTTTATGGCAATCGTACTATGCCACAAACCTTCGCCAGAGTATATTAAATAACTTCCCAAAGTTTCACTTCAATCGGATAAACGGTGTGGCAATGCATGAAGGACACACACACAGACACAGACACACATACATTCATTTTTATATATATAGATATGAATAAATAATTGTGATTTACTGGCATTTCCCCCCTCTTTTACCTTGTATGAGGCCGGCGTTAGTTCAAAAGTTTTGAAATGCGGCCCTTACACAGAAAAAGGTTGCCCATCCCTGGTCTAAGTGGCGAGGGGGAGGGAGGTGTGAAATACATACTAAGTTTAGATAAAAAAGAAAAGCCACAATTTAATTTAAAACGCGAAGAAAAAGTACTTACATTTTAAACAGAAGGAAAATTGAAACTCAACGTTGTCACTTTTAGGGATCACCACTTCAACCTTCTTCTCTCTACCTTGACCCGATCTACTCTCTCTGTCCCTTCTTTTTTTTTCGGTTTTACGACCCTTTGTCTACATTTCTTATTCCCCTTTTACGACTGTATGCAAATGGATTGCACATGGACTGACAAAACCGCATTCGAGGGAGAACGAGGAGGTCCGATATCACTACAGTTGCATTTGCGCATTACGTTCACGCATTGCGTTCGGTTACAACTTACAAGTATAACACATTAAGTGAAGACATCGCGAGCGATTGACCAAAATTGGTTTTGCGATCGACTTGTTGGCCACCCCTGGTATACAGGATACCCTTTTTTTCAAAATATGATCAAAAATTGCCCTGCATCTTGCATGCAAAAATGAAGTGTCTGATAGGCTAATATTTTTGCTGACTTATTGTATGCTGATTTATATCTAGTAGAATTCATAACATTGGTATTTTTTCAACCATTACCATCATTAATGTTACTACTGTAATTAAAAAGAAATTATTGTAAAAATTTAAACTAGATATCCTAATACAAATACAAGGTATGGGACAGAAATAATAAAGTCTTTGTACAAACTTATGAGCATCATTCAGAATTATTTGTTTTATCTTAAAGAAGGATTATGAAGCTCATAAGTCATATTTTATATTATCAATAGTTTAGTTAGTTGACAATAAATTGTGTGTGATATAGCAACTGAAAAGGTTACATGGGAAAGTTGTATAACCTGTTTGTTAATAATTTTATAAAGACATTATTATTTGAGTTTAGATAGAACATGATTGTTTAGGATAAAGTTATGGTTACAATAGAATTTTTATAGTAATTTATATGAGATGAAGGTTAATATTGCATAATTAACAACTTTATTTTGTAATTTAATATTTATACTATTTAACTTTATTGCTAAATTATATATAATATATTTTTTAGGCTCCTATAAAAGGACCAAACAAATTATATGATCCTCACAATTACAACACTTATTATGCATCAGAGTATGGAGGTTACAGTGATGGGGGAGGAAGAAACAGTGGAAGAGATATGGGATCTAGGTAATAATTTATTTATACAATATTGAAAATTTCTATTATTCAAACAATGAAAGCAATAATTTATTATTAATAATTTGCTTTGTGAGATAAGCCCTAAAATGTAAATTACAACAGTCTCTGTTTATGTAAGAATATGTTCTAAATATATTCTAGGATATGATATTGTAAAAAATTTAGAATGAATGTCATTCTAAATTTCTCTGGGTGTCACTTAAAAATAATGACCTTTTCATCCAAATTCTTGATAAGCTGACTATTTTATCAAATCCCTTTTCAATAAACACTTTAATTTTACTGTTATAAGGAATTTGGGAAGAAAACAAACTTCCAAAATAATCTTTTATTCTCACCAACTTAGAAATTGGCATAGGATCACTAGATGAATGCAATCTTATGTTGGGACTGTTGAATCTGCTGCTTCACAGGGATGGAAAAAAAACTGCATGTGGCTGCATTTGGGTTGAACTCCAAACCAAATATTAATATTAAATAAAATATAATTGTTTTCAAAACTTTTCTCTTATAAAATAGAAAGCAAATTCTTACTATTAAACACTTAAAAATTCTTCAACAATTTTTAAACTGTTGAAGAATTTGCTGTTGAAACTGTTGAAAAAGTTGAAACGTGAAAATTTGCTAGCACAAGCAAAGAACTGAAGTGCTTCCTTTGGAAATAAGAATACTTCTTTATTTATGTTATTTTAAACTAGAAATCTATTACATATACTAAGTAATGTAATAAAATACATAAAATAGCTGTAGAAAATACAATACTGCTATCCAGTTATCTATTATCTCAAACTTTCACTTTTATTTATTAAATAATAATAATTAAATAGATAATAGCAATAATTATATAATCAGTAGCAGACATTTGAGAGTGTATTGATCTGCTTTTTTTGCTGTAAAAAAGTAACACGTGTTAAAATTAATAGTTAGTTCCTAAGTAGTTTTCTGAGAATTATTATATAGAGGGGGAATTACCAGAAACTTGTAACATCTAATTTTTTTTGATGATGTTGTCGAAACCGTGTTGTATTTGCTTATTGTGTACTGGCTTATTGTGTACCAGTACACAACAACAATCTAATTTTTTTGTTTTTGAAGACTGGAAATTATCTGTAAAGACATGGGATTGGTTGTTGCCAGGCCTGGACTTTTAAAATGGACAAACACATGAATGAATTTGGTCCAAAAAAATTGGTTAATGTACATAAAAGCAAAATAAACACTTGGCTATATGCCAAAAAGAATTAATTTATTATGCTATGATTGACTATATACAATTGTTGTTAGTAAAAATTCAAAATAAGTTTGGGGGAAACAGAACTGTACAAGTTATAAAATTCTCAAATGATACTTTATCTAATTTAAAACAAGTATATATAAAAACTTTCCAGACATGTGGGTACTTAGTTTAAGAATAGTTCTACATTAATTTTATCTCTGCAAAACTGACAAGTAATATGAATTTAAACTACAAAAATTCACAAAGTAATCTTACAATCTAACTCCCCTAACTATCACCAATATGAAACTTCTAATCTACCAGATCCAATTTGAAAGCCTTTCTTTTTCTTTGTCTCAACCTTGTTTGATCCTTAACTTCACCACATTAGTTCTCAGTTCATCTGTCGTCTTATAGTGCTGGGGTGGTGACATTACATGAATATGCTCAATTGACCCTCTTTACATAAATACAGTAGACCCCCCTATAATTACGGTTTCTATAATTACGATTCCTATAAAACTGCGAAAAAATTGCGACAGTATCCGTAAAAAAGGTAAAAAACTCCTATAATTACGTAAAACATCATCGGGCAGCCGAACTACTTTCCCGCCGTCCGTAGCACCACGCTACGGACATTTAGGCGACTAAATTGAGTTTAGTTTCATCTGTACATATAATTATATATTAATTAGTGATGTAACGAATATTCGGTTACTATTCGGTATTCGGCCTATTTTTCACTATTCGACCGAATACCTAAAAACAGAAGTAATAAATAACAAAAACACAGTAAATTAATCACTTTGGTATTTAGATTTAATGTTATCGAGTTAGTGTTGTTTGTTTATATTTATTTATAACTTGTAACATGCACAAAATAAAAAAGAAAATAATATTAGTCACATGTATTCACAATTTATAATTACAAAGATCAGCACACGTACACGTCTATCGTTGGAGAATCCTCGCACATCTGAGGGTCTGACCCTGCCTATCCTTCTTTTTAAGCGCTCGTCTTTGCTCTTCCCTTTCTCTTTCCTCTATCGCTCTAATCCACGTATGCCTGTGCATACATCATAATACGCGCTCACGATACTTTCGATTCGTCACTTTTCCGTCCTAGAGTTCCCATTTTACAATTACGTGACTCAGCCTGGTGATAATAGAGAAAAGAGACAGATAGGACGTTGATATAAGTCACAGTTATGATTTCACAGATTCGAGACAGCTTGATAGCCCGAACGGCCCCAGACTTTCGCCTGTGCACGCTAAGTGACTTACATTACAAGCATTTAGCTCTCCGAACAATTGGCAATTGAACAACAATTGTTTGGCATTGACAACCGCAAATTTCGTGCTAATAAGCTGCCTTGACTTGTTCAATTATGTTATCAACTCAATTTCATATTTATTTTCACATTTTTACTTTGCGGTCCTTCTCTGTTCTTTTTCCATTATTTACACGTGTAGGTCATTTCATTGTTATCCACATTTGATATCATCATTTATCACATACTTCCATGACACTCTTGTCTGTCGGCTACAACTGCCAAGAATTAACGCGATTGGCGAAGCGTAGTGACAGTGGGCCAATAGAGAGCAGGATCCCTGCCATAATGCAGTTTGCGCGCCAATTTTCGTACGTGAGTTAATCGAGCCGAATATTTGGTATTCGGCCTGAGGCCGAATATACTATTCGTTACAACACTAATA